CCAGGCTGGCCTCGAACTCGCAAGGATCCTCCTGCCTCAGCCTCCTGAGTGCTGGGATTACAGGCGTGCACCACCAAGCCCGGCTTCACCCAGCTGAATTTAATAAGTATGGTAGTGGGTGTGGAAGGCCCACTTGAGGATTATTGCCAGCAGCATAAGAGGCAGAACTGGAGAAGGGAGAAGGCTGTTGGGAGCTGGTAGAAGCTGTAAGGAGCTGTTGGTTCTCTTGGAGGAGCTCGTCATGCTGGCTTTCCTGATGAACTTGACTGTTTTCATCCCTTAAGGAGCTCGGGACTTTGTTAGCACCGAGAATAGCTTCGGTTCATACGGAGAGCTATGGTCCTCACTTTGAGCATCACTTCCTGGCTCCGGCGGGGATGATGGTGTACTTCTCAGTCACTCGGAGAAGCTCATCACATTGGCTTCCCTGATGGGAACTCGGCTTTCCTCATCATCAGAGGAGCTCAGGACCTCACTGTTGCTGAGGATGCTGTGGTACTTTTGGGAGAGCTCTGGTTCTTACTTTGACCGTCACTTCCTGGCTCCAGTGCAGCTCCTTCAGCCTGCTGGCCCAGATCCTTCAGCCCACTGGCACAGACTTTCTAGCTTCCATCACTGACCTTTGGGCCTTCCCAGCGCAGATCTGTGAAACAGGCCTGCATAAGAGATTGTCACGGGCTCTAGGCCTCTAGTTGGACTCGTGGGAGGCATTGTTATGGGCTTCAGGTCTTCATGCAGGACATGATTGTGGGATGCAGGCCCTTAGCTGGATTCTTTGGTCTTTAATGTGTAGACACATTTCCTGCACTGTCTTGTATATGATTCTTTGTGATATGAGTCCTGTATTATATTGTTCCCCTTGCAAAAACCCCAAACCACAACAAGATGTATTATGCACATGTATCAATTCTCCAAAATTAATGTAATCATTGTGTACTGCAAACATGTACTAAAAAAAATTTTTTAAATAACTTCTTAATAAAACTGGAAATTCTCAAAATTAAAAAAAAAAATCCTCAGCAAGACATTGGTGAACAAAGTACAACAAATCATCATAAAGCTCATACACCAGGACCAAGTAGGCTTCATCCCAAGGATACAAGGACGGTTCAACATATACAAATCAATAAATGTGATTCATCATATAAACAGAAGCAAGGACAAAAGTCACGTGATCATCTAAGAGATGCAGGAAAAGCCTTTAATATCCAACATTCATTCATGATAAAAAAAAAAAAAAAAACCTACAGAAAATTGGTATAGAAGGATCTCAGCTCATCTAATAAAAGACATTATGGCAAACCTACTGTTTGCCAACATCCTATTAAATGGGAAAAAAACTGAAAACTTTCTCCCTAAAGTCTGGAACAAGGCAAGGATATCCACTTTCACCACTTCTGTTCAACTTAGTCCTGAAAGCATTAACCAGAGCAATCAGGCAAGGAAAAGTAACAAAAGGGATACATTTAGGAAAGGAAATACCATTGCTTGCAGAAGACATGATCCTTTACTTATAGGGCCCAAAATCTACCCCAAAAGACTCCTAGTTAAATTCAGTAATATGACAGGATACAAAATCAACCCACAACAATCAATAGTGTTCCTATACACAAATACTAAACCCACTGAAAAAGAAATTCAGAAAAGAATACAATTCACAATAGCTGGGGCTGGGGGGTTATTTAGTTAGTTAGTTAGTTAGTTTTGGTTTTTGTTTTTTTTCCGGTACCAGGAATCGAATTCACGACGTTGCGCTTGCCAGGCAGGCGCTCTGCCTGTGAGCTAAACCCCCAGCCCCTGGCAAGTGTGAGGTCATGAGTTCGATTCCCGGTACGGGGCGGGGGGGGGGAAGCAACACAATAGCATCAAAAAATTAAATACCTGGGAATTAACCTAACCAAGAAATTTTAAACCCTCTAAAACGAAAATTACATCACAAAAAAGAAGATCACAGAGAACATCAGAAAATGAAAAGATATCCCATGCTCTCGGAAGGCAGAAACAATAGTCAAAATCGCTATACTTCCGAAGCTGATATACAGATCCCTTCCATACCTAAGTGATCCATTTTTGGAATACCCATAACAACAGAACATCAGGCATCCAACAGGAGACCAGCTCACTGCTGCAGCCTTATGGCCTCCTGGCCACTACAGCTACAGCTACAGGAGTCCCAGGAAGTGAGCCGCTGTCCCCTGGGGTGTGGGTCTGTCTCTCAGCTGGACCCCAGCCAGGATCACACCTCTGGGCGCCACCCAGGAGTGAGCTTGCGGGTGAGGTGACTTTGTGAAGCCCTCCCCTTCCTCCTAAGTACATGAGATGGGGAAGGATGTCACCTGGGCCGCATTATTATCCATGCTGGCTCCTCTGATGACCAGCACCCCAAGCATGCTGCCTGGCTCAACGACCTCCCCTGAGCACAGCAGCACCCACAGGAGAGGGGCAGCCGCCCCTTCCATACGGAAACCATGGCACGCAGTCCTGGAGGCACGGAAGCAGAGCCAGGTCTGGGGGAGCCTCGCACGCCTCTCCTGCCCCTGCCCAGCTATGGGGCTCTGCCTGACATGAACCGTCGCCGCTTCTCCTGTGTGGGGTTCCGTCTGGGCTGTCCCACGTGTGCACAGGTACTGCCCCTGAGAGCACGAAGAGAAGCGCTGGAATCAGGGAAGGAGGCCCAGGACCGGGTAAGGGTGGTGGCGTCTCTGCTGGGGCTGGAGGAGGACGGGAGGAGGTAGACAAGGCGGCGGGACCGGGTGGGCACTGTGTACTGGAGTCTCCCGAAGCCAGGGGAGGCCTCGGAAACCGCGTCGTGCGGCGACCGCGACAGTACGGGACAGAGTATGGGGCCCCAGGCCGCCCCGCTCCTCTGCGCAGCTCTCCCGGGCTCGCTCGTTCCTCCCGCGGGCCCGCGCCCACTCCGCCTGGGCTTCCAGGCCGCCTGTCCCGAGACCTGGGAGCCCGATCTACGCTGGGGGCGGGGCCTGGCGCTGGGGGCGGAGGCAGGCGGCAGCAATGGCGCGTCCTGGTCACGGGGCGGGGAGGGGCGGGGTCGGACACCTGGACTCCGCCCCGGGGCGGGGCCTGGGCCGCAGCCCGCCTTTGGGTCCCGCCCTTCCGCCCGGCCTTCGCCTGCTGCTTCCACCTTCCGCCCGGCGCCGGCTTTCGGTGCGAGCGTCGCCGCTTCCCATCGCTGCGCTGCCTCTGCGGCGCCCGAGTCCGCGATGTCGGGCCCGAACGGGGACTTGGGCATGCCGGTGGAGGCGGCCACGGAAGGGGAGGACGGCGGCTTCGAGGAAGCAGGTGACCCACGGGGGCGTAGAAGCCTCCTTTGCGGGCAGGGGGAATCGGGGCGGGGAGGGGCGCTCGGAAGGGACCCAAGAGGCCCCCTCATCCGCGCTGGGCGGGCTCGCGTGGTCCTGGAGCTGTCGCGGAGGTGCAGAGCGAGCACCGGAGAACGGGTTCCCCCGTGGAAACCGCAGCATTGGAGAGCTGCGGACAACCAGCTCCGGTCCACAGATGTGGAAGCTGAGGCAGCCGAGGAACACCTGTTTGGGATTTGCTCCAGCCGCCTGATCGAGAGCGTCGGCTTGGCTTAGCGGAAGGGGAGACTGGGGGCTCCCCGCTCTGCTGAGTCAGCACCCCAGCCACCGCTGTCCTGGTGACCCTCTCCCGAGCAGCCCGCGGTGTGCATAGCACTGCGGGGGGGCGGGAGGACCATCAACCCGCGGCTTCCCGTTGTCTTCTTGAGCCTCAGTGTCCCCATCTGTAATACAGGAATAGTGATTAGTGCCTCCTGTAGTACAAGATTAGAGGAAAAATGCAGTGCAAAGTGCTTAGCAGATTCCAGCATGCAGTGTTAAGTGGTTATGGTGACTGTGGGGCTTCTCTACTGTAGGAAGACTGGTTTATCAACGTAGAGGGCAGAACTTAGTAGATGTGGGGTAAGGAGAGCGTATGCTTTTGGGGCTGGGTAACAGCTTTATTGAGCTGTAAGTCACATCCTATACAGTTTACCCATTTAAGTTATATGGTCCCATGGCTTGCGGTATATTTAGAGTTGTGCACCCATCCCACAGTAGTTTTAGACCATTTCCATCACCCACAGTCTGCTTGGTGTCTTGCGTGTTTTGATACTGGGGACTGAACCCGGGGCTTTGGTACACAGCTATATCCCCAGCCCCGCTCC